AGAAATTATCAGAAGACATTTAAAACCAATATGGGAGAGATAAAAATCCTTTCCAACACAAACCTGACTTCCTGGCCAGTATTCCCATAGAAGAAAACTGTCATTATATTGCCTCAATACACTGCATGGCAAAGTTGCCAAACTGCCAGATGAATCTGTGTTCCCCTTTTTGTATTATTTTTTGGCATACATAGAAGTGAATGTCATTGGTACCTCTTTCACATATTTTGTTTCAGGGCATAGTGATATACCTAGCAGTAGGTTCAATGGAAGTACAATATCGGGTACAGATACCCCAGATGCTTTGCATTTGCAGTCATCACAGAGGTATCAAACTAGGGATGAGCTCAGGGGTGTTTGGACACCTGAACTCTCACTAGGAAGTGGTCACTGCACACTGCCCATAAGCAGCTGCATGTATACAGGTGACATTTATACGTGCCGCTGCGAGGCAAGGAATGCCTTGGCCTGTTATGATCGGCGATGTGCAGTGACAGCTTCCTAATGGAATACTTCATTTGGGTTTGGACTAGGATCTAAATATGCCTGAGCTCATTCCCGATCAACAGTGATTGCAGCAAAGGTGCCTGGACCAGGAAAACAAAGACTGGAGCATTTGGAAACACATCAAAATAGTTAGGCTCCACGCACACTGGGCTTAAAAAAAATGCCAGTTCCCTTAGCAGAAAAAAAAAACACTCATATAAAGCATTTTTGTACAATGTTTAGGTGTGTTTAAGAGTGTTTAGCATTTTTTTTTTTTCTGCCAGAAAACACCAATCAAAACCACAAATCAGAAGGGTTTTTTTTCTGCCTCTAAATGCAGAGCTTAAAATACGCCTCTAAACGTCCTATTGTGCATGGACACATAGGATAAAACTGAGCTGCTTCTACAGGCAAAACACAAAACTCCTGTACAAGCAGCATTTTTAAGCTAGTGTGCTTGGAGCCTTAGTGTGCTTGTATTTACATAGAGCAGAACTGAAAAAGGATATCTTTAACTGGTCTATACGGAACCAAATCTTATCAAAGGGCACCCGACAGATTTGGGTACCCTTATCAAAAGGTACCCAACAGCCAGGTTTGCTAACATTTAAAAGGAGAAAATGAAGACACTATGACCACAGTTGGAATACTAGTGTCATGGAAATTTAATTAGGTCTTTGAAGTGAACCTGTACACCCTTTACGGCCTATTCATAATAATTTTTTTTAGGGAGCTTTACCATAATGCATGTACCACAGTTTCATTAATTTTAGCAGTGCACCACAGCATTCGGTAATGTACTAGCATGTAGTGTGGTATTCCAGTGTAGGTCCTCTGTGAGACCATTAAAATGAATAAGATGCATTAAAGCAATGCATGTTAATGCACCACACTGGACCAGAAAGATCTGGATGAGCCGATTATATTTTATGTTAGATACTGCAAGATGCCAACTATTAACTTCCATAAGCCTGAAAAGTCTCTTCTGTGCCCCTCTCTGCTTTAGTTTTATTATGTTACTACAGCCCAACGTTTTCAAAGCTTACCCAACTGCTAGTCCAATGTGCCCTCAGTGGTTAGTAAGGGTACTTTCATAGGACAATGGAATTGTAGATGACAGGGCTTAGCTATTAAGTCAGGACATCTTCTGGTGCTGCTCTCAGACAGCAATTTTATACTTAAACTGGAGCAATGTTCACTGTAAAAACTCAAAAGACCGTTGAATGTTCGCTATATATTGAGATAATAAAACATTATGAAAAAGGGAAACAGAAATTAATACAACCAAGTTAACGTTCGCAAGACATTTCTCTGACTTGCAATCATTTATCGGAGCTGTTCAAAATGCTATGCTTCCATGAAATTGGAAATTGGAACTAATAAAAGATAGTTTTAGAACAAATCCAACAATGTTGAAGATTTAAAAATAAAAAAAACACACAAAACAGTGAACAATGGGATAAATGCAGTAATTATCATATTTATTAGGAATTTACAACCACCTTCAGATATCTCTTCATCCCATTAAATCTTCAGAAGCCACCTTCTAAAACAACTGCAGTTTGTGTTGTATCTAGATAACAGTTTCCAGGGCACATCTGCAAAAAAATCCTCTTCCTATAGTTTGTGATCAGTTAAATGACTATAGATAGCTATGTCATCCACTCTCTAGAAGAGAAATCCTCTTCATTTAAAGATGGAAATCAAAGTACAAGCACAATTTATAGTTGGCTCAATAGAGGACTTAACCCAATGTAACTTGCAACCAGGGGCAGACTGACCATTTGGATGCCCCTGGTACCTTTTTCATAGGCTTTTTTGAGTTTGGGCAAGGACACAGGGGCCCCATGATCCCCTATTCCCCGGGGGCCCCATGAGTTGTCAGTCCGCCCCTGCTTGCAACTATAAATTGTCAATGTAAAAATATACATAACTCCAATCATTTTCATTTTCCTTTCAAATAGAATGTGGATTTACTTTTTAGTATTTCCATGTCCCTGTGATGTTTCCTTCACTTTCTGTTTCTGTAATACATGAAATGGAGGGGGGGAATGTCAACCTGACAGGAAAGCTCAGACAGCAACTAAGACACTGACAGTAGTTCTACTTCCCTGCTTTTCTATTAATTTTTTTTTTAATTACTTATTTTGAGGCCTCTTTCAAGGGATTACCCAATACTCTATACAGTGATGGGGGAAAAAAAACCCAGACACATACAGCCAAAAGAAAAAAAAAAATCAAAAGACTCTAACCCTACCTCATTCTTTCCAAAACAAAATATAAAAGGTTTCATTACAAATGGGCTTTAACCCTTTGGCGCAGGAGCCTCCTGGTCCTTTCAGGGGTTTTGTGACACTGGGAAGCAGGGCAGAGTTGAGGGTCATGTGACCACTGTGATTGGCTGTCACGGAGGTCACGATTGGAAAGCTCCTGACCGCAAGTAGCGATCGGGACCTTTCCACGAGGCGCCCGTAAATGTGACGGGTGTGTGCTCTTGGCACGTTTTGTTTACACTGGGTACGGAAATATGTGCCCCACGGCACCAAGGCCCAGCCGCTGCATATTGGCGTACATTAGGCACCAAGGAGAAACTAGCTTTATTTCAGTTTTAAGATTGATGGTAGTGGACAAAATGGTGGCCTTTGGTAACTGTTCATACTAAAAAAAATTCTCATATGGTCTATTTACCAAGAAAATAGTCATCCCAACATACACCACCTTTTCACATGCAAAAGGATCCTAAATCAACATTATAAAAAAAAAAAAAAAAAAAAAAAAAGAAAGAAACCATAACCTATGACAGGCACAGCCACTCTATATATCAAGGGATGACACTTTTTTTTCAAAATAAAACTGTATCATGACCTTTCATAACCAAGCTATGCAAAATGACATGTGGTCTACTGGAGCAAGACACAATACTCGAGACAATCAACCATTGGTGGTGTAAACGGACATCTAAAAATAACACTTCTACCTTTTATATTACAAGTCTCTGACATATAAAAACACCAATATAGAAATCAAAGAAAAGGGGTCATTATGGTCTTTAAAAAGGGTACCATGGTACATAGCAAACACCCAGAATTTGCACAGAACCCCTTTTTTCTTTTAAACAGTGGTTCACATTTGTTACAAGATAGCATCATATCAACCCTGCCAGCTATTTTTACAAGTGGTGCTCTTATTAAGATTTGGCTAAAGAAGAATTTAGGCCTGATTATCTGTTCCATGGCTTTTAAGAGCTAAGATGTAAAGTTGACTGTATAGGAACAATTTTATCCTTCCACCTGTGCCTGGAAGGGCTTCTAATATGTAAATTCCACAGTAATTTGCTATCTGTGCCTGGTCTGCTTTCAGTTCACCGTGTCTTGTTGAAACTAGATCCAGAACTACCATTGATTGCATCACCATAAAAATGGAAAGCCGCAAACAACACTTAGAAGATCCTCTGTATTATGTATTCAGATAAATAGTAATTAAAGGGTAATGGTACACAGAGTTAGTGGATGGTGGTGAGGTGAACCTGGTCTGTGATACATAATCCATGCCCCTATCGCATGCTATGCATTTCTCAATCTCACTCCCTTCTTTTCTCACTTCTCTCTGTGTGTCAGTTTTCACCAAGGGTGCTAGACCCAAAAGTGCAAGGTGCTAGACTTCACAATGCCAGATTTGTGATGTGGAAATCAGACTCTGTCCCACTCCACTTGAGTTACCCTTCAAAGATTGCATTGCTTTTAGCTGATTAATACAAATTCACATTTTAATGAATAAATACATTTACTTCTTTGTCATACCACAAGTTCCAATATTTAGAAGAACGATATTATGATTTGTAACCTTTTCGAAAAATTCAAACAGTACCATCAGATGTCTGTTTCAAAGGAATGAAAATTTCATTACAGCCCACAAACAGTTTAGTCTTGATTGTATGCAGTCTGCAAACCCATATCCTCTCTATGGTGTCAAAGGCATTTGTTTAGATGGTTTTTAGTTTTTGTGACAAATTAAAACAATGAGTTTGTGCATCTGGTGACAAAAAAATCAAGTCACAAAAGAAAAAAAAAAAACACTTAAAATAATAAGGCAAGAACAAGAATATTTTGTAAAAGGCATTCATGCACTGCTAATGTCTAATGAAAATAAAGGTCCTGAGTACTGAGGTGGACAGAGAATTCCTGTGTAGTAGACATACCAGTGACCTTAAGGCTGAATCAAGACATTAACAAGTGTTCACTATCACAATCATTTGGCTTTTAACATGACAGTGTAATAGCAAGGGGTGGACCCATTTATAACGTGAGGCAACAGGCAATAAAATGAAGCAACACATTCTACGACCTTTGTCCGTGATGTTGGTTTATGAGCTTGTTACTGTACATGTAAAACACAGCATTGTTTGCGTCATTTTAAAACTTTATGCAGAATATTTTATTGCAAAATTGCACTTCACTGGGGTGATTGAAATATCTCTTTGAATTCTGTTGCAGTCCTTAGTCCCTAAGCCCATGTCACCAGTAGAATGATCTGGATAAAAAGTTTGCCGCAGTGCTGAGCCAACTGCTTCCACTGTCCTGATGTGCCCCAACACGAGACACAGCCTTGTCCTGTTCCTTCATCGGACTTTCATCCTCAGGTAGATAGTCTGGTAAGTCTGTGTTCTGCTCCACATCCACAGGTGTATCTTGAAATGGAATCAGCAGCTTAAAAGTACAGATACAAGGAGAGTCAGTAAGGTTATGTGAGAGTGGAATGCCAACCATTTTTTTTTATTTTAAACTTTGGGATTGAGTTGCTCAGGTTTTTATTGTTGGCTATGTCCAGCCTTCTGAGAGACACAACAGAGTGTAAAGCTGGCCATAGATGGGTCAGTTTTTTCGTTCAACCCGCTGGCTGAACGAAAAAAGTGACTCGATTCCCTCCATCCACATATTCAAGGTGAATGGGGGAATCCTCCCCACTGTGTCTTTGTATTCTGACAGCAGGCGCACTTCCCTTCCCATTGATTGAGAGAAAATTTTCCAGCAAGGCGGTTGCCAATCGACTTCTGTAAAACCACAGTGCCCATGCATGGATCAAAATTTGGCTGGTCCCTACTGAACCGGCCAAATTTTGATCCATCTATGGGCAACTTTACTTTAGTGGACACCTTTCCAACTAGGAGAAATCCCATTTTGTTCAATTCTGTTTTCTACTGCATTTTATGTGCAGGATGGATCTTCAGTCTGAAGCGTGATCAACTTATGTGACCTCAATTAAGAGTTTAATTTAGACACAGGTTTTTGGAGGCCTACATTACAAAGACAATACTTCATTAGCACTCTAATGTTTATGTATACAGAGAGTATATATTTTCTTCCTTTCACACCTGGAAAACCACTGGATTACACAGGAAAAAAAAGAAAGCTCCATGAAAGGGTAGATGTGGTTACTATGCTAGATTCACATCTTGTAATTTTGCTTAATGTGTTTTCCATTGGAATCAATAGAAATGCAAGCGTTAAAAAGCACATCATAATGCAAGTTAATGCATCATGACATCTAGAAGATATATTATTTAGTTTGAAGGACAAGGAGCACCGAGGTGGGTCTAGGCACAATCACAACCTTTGTAGGTACAATGTATAACCTAGAAGCCATTTTAACTTTTACCAAAATAATAGTATGCTCTGCACAATGACACTTTGGGAAACGTCACACAACCCAAAAAATAAAGCAAAAAGACTAATATATGTGGCTGTTATTATTTGATCACCATTGAGCATGCTAAGAAATGTGCTACAAACACCAGCCTAATTAAAAAGCTGTTTCTTAACCGTTTGCCCCCTTCGTAACATGCATATGCAGTGGGAGTCCACAGCAGCCCGAGGTTGTGTGCTGAGAGTGTGCTTACTGTTCTCGGTCACGGCTTCTGATTGAGAGCCAGTAGGATAGGCTTTTAATCATGTGACCACTGTGATGGCCAATTACGATAGAGAATGGCCACCCCCCCCCCCCCCCTATTGGGCATTAGAGTTCACTTAATGAGTGCCCGGGAAGCGGCATGAAGGGGAAATATGTACACAAAAAGGACTGACATTCAGGCAGTAATAGATGAACACTCATTGGACACATATCCTACCTCTTCTCCAGTCTCGCCTTTTACGACTTGCTGTGCTTTCATCACTTTGGTAGATGCTATTGCTGTGGCCAAAGCCTAGAGCGAATTAAAAACACATTTATCAAGAGAGAACAAGGACACAGTACTACAATTACATAGAACACACATCTGTACATGCTGTATGAATGTGCTGAACTTTAATAAAATTACTTAATTTTTAATTGAATATTATTCAAGTAACCCCACAGTACTGTATGCACAAACCCACGAACAAATGTTTTACCCTCGGTTCACACTAGTGCCGTTTTGTAGGCCACGGAACGGCAGCCCATTTATTTGAATGCGCTGCCGTTCCTCGCAAAACATATAAAAAAAGCTCCCTGCACCTTTCCAGAAATTGCAGCCTGCACAGGGAAATGCGCTACAGTGTGGTTCCCAGTATCAGTGCGATTTTCAGTGCGGGCGGCTTGCCATTAAGATTAATGGTACCCACGGGTCCTGATTTTTGTGTGTGGGTGGTTGCAGCTGCAGGATGAAGTACGGGTCCCGCAGCGGCTTCCACCCGCACTAGTGTGATCTGAGCCTTATACAATGCAGTTTTCCAGTCCTTTTATGTAGTGGTGGCAGCATGTGTTTTTTTTTTTTTTTACCTGGTAATCTTGCCAGTAAAACACTTCCTGTACTAGGACAGCAACAATCACTCACTGTACTGTATCTACAGAGAGGCACCATTGTCACCCACAGGCAGAGGTGTGTTTAGACTACAGGATAACTCTCTCCTCCTCTTCTCAATAACATAATAGGGAGGTGTTTTTTAAGCTGCAGAGAGACCCATTAAAAGGTCAAAGTTCAACTTTGGGAACATGTTACACGTTCCACCTGTTTTATGGGTGGAACATGTAACACGTTCCTACTCCTGCCACGTGCTACTCTGCATCTACAGACAGGTAGGGAGGGATCTTTCTCTTCCTGCTAGCTGTCACTATTTTTTTTCTTTTAAAAGTGGCCATGTAGGGTTCCCCACGCATCCTTCAGTTAAAGAGTTCTATGAATGGAAAAATAAAAGTACCAACAGCCTTTGCGGCTGTCAGCTTGTATGTCCCAATGAACTACCACGGCGCTGCTGAGCACTGTTATAGTTTATTCTCGTTTCCTGTAAGTCTGTATCTGCTTTCCCATATGAGCAGACAGATACACTGACAAGTCTGCAGGAGTCCTGCATGGCACCCATGATCTGCTGATCAAGGGTGCAATGCTTTACCAAATAAAAAAAATAAAATGCACCCTTTTTTTTTTACCTGCAAAAAGATATGCGCTTTTATTTCTTAAAAAGGTGAACTTATCCTTTAACTTTGTTCCCAGCTAACAGTCAGAGATGACTGGCAGCAGGCATTCTGGAAGGATGACCATGTTTTTGCCTTTAATTGAACAGATATAACAAAACACTTTCAATGGTACATTTAGCTGACTTTGAGGGAGCAAATGAGAGAAATTGTTAGGGTTTCCTATCAGTTTAACTGTTCAGTTCCTGGTTTGTTAATAAAAAATGTGACCCTGCTCCACACTGGGTATTGCGACAGCTACTCCCACAGGTGATCAGTACACCTGCTTTATACGTACTGATTTGGCTATTCTTGGCAGCCCTCTCCTGCTTTTGTTTTTTTTTTAGATTTTGTTGTTGCTCTGCCTACAGATTCACCTGGGTATAAGCCAACTAAAAATCCTTCAGTTACATAGACATTTGGTAATTTTTTTTTTTTTTTTTTTTACTATTTGATGGCATTTGCCTTGCACTGACCCTTGGAGGTGGTTATGCATACACAGCCTTCATTTAGAAAGCTGTTCAAGAACACATTTTTTTTTTCCACAAAAATGAGGTGTACCTCCTATGAAACACAGTTAAAAAACAATATTTAATACTACATAGTGATTTTAGGTAGCTACTTACCTCAGCTTTTAAATCTGACCGAATTCGAACCACACATCTTTGAACTGCCATTTGAAATGTAAAACTAATGACGCCTTTGATTTTTAACAAGGCATCTTCACAAAGACTCCTTCGAGACTGGAAGAAAAAAAAAAAAAAAGTATATGTATAAAATAAAAAGTAATTCCTACATAAAGCTCATCACTTAAAGTGCATCCAAAGACAAAAGGAGAGGAATTAGGATCCTAGGAGATATTTATTGCCATTTGATAGTCTCCCCATTTGTCCTGGCTACCACTTAGATAGAAAGTAATGGCAAACCCAAATTTTGAGTTGCATTGAGAACAACAGCATAGGGAAATACGAAATAGGGAAAATTTTTTGTAATGTTTTCCAACAGCAACCTATTCGATTTTTACTTTTGATTACATTTTCCAATTTACTCTAGAAAATAACGGCATCTGGTAAACCCCCAACAAGTCTTGGCACATTTCTTTCCTTTTAACAAGGACCGATCTTTTCCGGGAAGCAAATTGCAACCAAATTATAAACTTCAGAATTGCAAACAACACCTTTAAACCCCTAACTATACACATCAGCAGATCTACTGAAATGGTAACTGCACCGTTGTTTGTTTTCAATAGGTTATTGCCCCAACAGCAAAGCTGTTAGGTCAAAGAACTCTATGCTTGGATAAACAGAAAACAACTTTGCCATGTATTCACTACTTGTGACTAAAAAGGTACAATGCTTACATGTTAAAATAATAAATCCAAGTGGATAAAATGAACTGTAAATCAAAAAACATTGCTGAAAAGCCAGAAGTTGTTTGCTCCATATGATTAGAAAAGCATTTCCCCTTGGTTAAGCTTTGATTGACTGAAGTGCTCATTGCTAAGCAGTTAACGTTTAGTTCTGTTTATCAGACACCTTGCATGCATGCTGACGGAACGCATCAAAGCAGATGTTGCAACCCTTCAGCAAATCGGCACATCACGAGCTCTGTGCACGCCACTCACTCTTGTTACTTTGAAGCCAGACAATCCACTTTCTTTCAAAAGCACACTAGCCATGAACATTTTCCTTTCTTCATTATGTCTAGTGCTAAGGATGTATTGAGTGAATACCATTTTAGACTAAGCCACCATATACATTGTGTTGAAAAAAGGTGAATCCTTTGCATTAATTTGCCATTAAATGTGACCTTGTCCTCATTGAAGTCACAACAATAGACAAAAACATTGTGCTTAACTCCTTCACATTGCTGCATCCCAGACCTTTAAGAGGTTCTAAATGCTGGCAGGTGGACATTCTGATCACGTGACCGCTGTGATTGGCAGTTGCTGGTTACTGTGCAGTACGCAGGGAGCACAATCTCCAAAAAAAAAAAAAAAAAAGGCTTACATAGGGACACATGTGTGGTCTCTTGGCGTAAAAGCCCACCCACTGAGTGGCTGCATATATGCATACCACCTTTGGGAAGTGGTTAAGACGATAACACACAATTTTAATTTCAAGTGTCTTTATTGAGTATGCCTATTAAACATTCACAGTGAAAAAAAAAAGTACAGAAAAAGTAAAGCCAGTCATAGATGGATTGAATCTTGGCCAGTTCAGCAGTTCCATCAATCGATTTCAGTCCAATTAGCCTGTCAGATTTTTTGCATGTGATCACTGCTGGTGGCTATAACCACTAACAGTGATCATTGCGTTTTGCTGGCAGGGAAGGCTCCCTGTGGGCAGAAAACAATAGTACAGCGCGAGGGACTGTGTTTATGGGGAAATCAAACTATTTTTTTTCTTCCACCCATGGGTGGAGGGAAAGAAAACTGTATAATGTATGGCCTGCTTAAGTGAAGCAATAGACTAATTACTTCAAAAGAACATTAATTGGAGTTTGTAGTTTGAACATCTGGAGTCCAATTATTCAAATTCGTTTTTGGAGGTATGGTTTTAGAGCTATTTTGATTGATAAGACACTCAAACATTTTAAGATTGCTTTTCATAAAAGCATCAGCAGATGAGAACCATGCCTCGCAAAAAGGAGCTCTCTGAAGACATATGATCAAGAGTAGTTGATTTGCTGGAAGGATGTAAGCCTGGAAAAGGAATGCAAAGCAACCACAGAGTGTTTAGACATCCATCAGTCTATAGCTAGACAAACTGTCTATTAACTTCTTAACACCATACCTTTTGGCTCTTTAAGGAGTTTTGTATGCTGGTACGCGGGGTGGCGTTTTAGTTCATATGGCTGCCATGATTGGTTGTCACAGCGGTCACATGATCTGAAAGCTCCTAATTGCAAGTAGCCATCGAGAGCTCTCCATCATGTCCCGGGAGGAAGCACGATGTGCGCTCTCGGAACAAGATAAGGTACGTTATAAGATACGATATAGGTTTATATTTAGATATGCAAAAAATGTTCCCACTTGGCGTTGAGGCCCACCCTCCAAGAGGCCGCATATTTGCATACTATTGGCACAAAAGGGTTAATGGAGACAGTTTAGTACTGAGGCTACTGTATGACTTCCAAGGCACAATGCAGAATCCTTAATGAGGTAAAGAAGAACCCATGAGTAAGAGCTAAAGGCTTGAAGACATCTCTGTACTGGCAAACATCCCTGTTCAGGAGTCTAACATATGTAGTCTTTGACCAGGCAGGGTGACCAGAACACCACAAAGGAACCCGCTGCTCTCCAAAAAAAACATTGCTGCGCACCTGAAGGTTGCCAAAGAGCACCTTGGCAAACCACAACACTACTGGGAAAATGTTTTGTTGACCGATGAAACAAAAATTTAATTGTTCAGGTAGAATAATCAGCAGTATATATGGCGCAAAAAGGGCACAGCTAACCAACAATAAAATAACATCCCAATGGTAAAGTATTGTGTAGGGAACCTCATGATTTGGGCTTGCTTCGCTACCTCAGGGCCTGGACCACTTGCCATCATTAAGGGAAAAATGAATTCCCAGGTTTACCAAAATATCCTACAGGATGATGTCAGGGTGGCTATCAGCCAGCTGAAGCTTAGTAGAAGTTAGGGGATGCTTAGGTGACCCTAAGCATCAAAGTAAATCCACCACAGTGGTCTAGAAAAAGAAGGTAAGCAGCCGTATATAGATAATAGTCTCTACCTTGTCACTGAATTTTACTGGTACCACGTCCCTTATTATAGACACGGTGAAAAATGCAAAAACCCTAAGCAGAAAAGCTGCTGGGACTTTAGGTGCCGTACCAACAACTCCTCATACAAATACTATAAAAAATAATAACTATTATATAATATTAAAATACATGATTGTAGTACAAACACTGAGCATGAACATTTACAGTCTTGGGGCTCTTAAGCATTGAGGGTATTCATGTTAAATGCCAACTTCATCTTTCAGGCAGATATTTTTAAAATAGCTATAGATTTTGAGGTGACTGCAAATGTAGTGTGTTAGTTTTTTCAAACATCTGTTCCATGAACATGGTTGCTGGTATGGAATGTGCATGTTCCTGCAGTGGAGGAGACGCAAACGACACCTGCAACACAATGCTCATCTCCAAGTAAAATATCATACAGGTGATAAAGTCCAACCTGATTATTATATGAATCAACTGTGCCCAATTAAAAACACTGTATCAACTGTGCCCAATTAAAAACACTGTACCAACTGTATCAACTGTGCCCAATTAAAAACAAGAAGGGCACTTTTTCTAAACAAGAATTTAATGGTTAACCAGAACCAAATTGTGTCTATGCTTCCATACAAGTAAAACCTGGACATTTCTATATTTTTCAGCAGACATAAAGGATGCTTGAAGGCCTGTAAATGTTATGATAGTTAGCACTTCTGCCTCGTAGCACTAGGGTCATCGGTTCAAATCCCAACCAAAGAACTACCTGTCTGAAATTTGCATGTCCTCCCTGTGGCTGAGAGGGGTTTCCTCCGGGTGCTCCGGTATCCTCCTACACTCCAAAGACATGCTGGTAGGTTAACTGGCTCCTATCTAAATTGGCCCTAGTATGTGTATGTATGAATGTGAGTTAGGGATCTTAGATTGTACGCTCCTTGAGGTTTAGGGACTGATGCGAATGTACACTGTATATATGTGTGTGTATGTATATATATATAAATTGACGGCACTATATAAAAACCTGTAATAAATGTGTAAATGTTCACACTAGACTGGTTTGGATAAGGTGTAATGAAAGAGCTGAAATACCATTTCTGAAAAAATGCCCTCAAAGCTTTAGTATTTGGTCAACTAAATTTTGCTGAAGAGAAAAAGAGTTAAGCAACGTCTTCGACATCTTCCTTTAGACAAACCACTCCTTTCTTCTCTATGCTCCCTCAGTGTGATGGTAGCATTCATAGCACACTCTTTACACTCCAAATGACCAGCAAACATTGCACATACTGAATTTACAGAAGTAAAACTGTGTTGGATGGTATAGCTGGATCCACTGTAGGCACTGCTGGTGGTAAGTCTTCTCCAATGGGTACTGCTGCACAAACCTCCTGGGAAGTGTATACATTTTACCTGGTCTTGAACAGTCTTCCTAAAGCACATCCTGTAGTAGTGGGGGAAAGGACCTGAGATTTGGGAAGTGATCCCATACTGAAGACCTTAAAAGTAAAAAGTAAAAAAAAAAAACACAAGAGGCAGTTTCTGACAAGTCCTTTATTTAAAAAAAAAAAGAAAAAAAAGAAAGTCCCTTGGTATGGAGCCATCAACAATCATGATGCCCACTGCCATCGCTGACCCAAAAAAAGAGAAAAATAGGCTCCACTCTTGAAGAAGGCTCCCGCCGTCTATCCGCTCCACCACCTGACAGTTCTTAAATAACCAAGGGGCAGGCTCAACCGTCATGAGTTGATGACGTCTAAAGGATGCGGGATCACGCTATTTTTTCCCCCTTTAATATTTAAGTACTGGAAACTTTTTTTTTTTTTTTTTTTTTTAACATTCAGCTGATGACTCATAGGTTAAGGATGTGGCTAACAACTATGAGAGTAATTGTGGAATCTCAAGTGCTGTGAGAACAGTTTAGATCTTTATAGCTCCCTCTCAATTTTTTCTAATGGCAGAATTGTTTTAGAGCTGAACTCCAGGCACAAAAGAACTATTGAAATATATTCCTCAATGGTCACAAATGATAAAATTTTACTATATGTGCACCAAATGTCTTTGTAAATCATGTTATTACCTTGTAAATGTAGCAGTGACATCATCACTGTGCTGTACATGGCCTGTACAGAGAGCAGAGCTGGGGGGCTGCAGCAGGCCCACCCACTACAGGCTGCCTGCAGAAAACTACAGGAGGGCAGATACAGGACAAGTCACCCTGTAAAAGGAGAGAGAGCAGTGGTGGCTAGTCTTTTTTTTACAGGATGGCAACGTTTCACACTGGATTACTGCATGTATTTGGAAGAAATACATACAGCACACCAAGATTAACCACATCCCGACTGCCCTATAGCAGATATACTGCTACAGGGCAGCAGGGGTGAGCAAAATCACGTATATATATGTAAAAAAGACGTTGGGACTTAGTGAGCGCTTACAGAGTAGCAGCTATTGCACTAAAAAAGGAACCACAAACCTTCTCAATAGACAATAAGATAAAAATAGTGCAGTGCTAGAATCAATGGAATGAATATATAAATAAATAGTAATCGGTGGGGTGATAAAAATAACGCAAGTTTTGCAAGTGGATTGGGGCTGCTTTGTGCAAAACTATTACACAGAACAGGACCCCAGGTGTTCTTTCCAAACTAGAGGAGGGAGCCTGCTTGTGACCAGACCCCATTACAGCATACCCCTAAAGGGACCTCTGATTGACATCTAAACGCCCAGACCCACAGAGGAGGGGATTCCTGCACCAGGCTGTACCCTGCTAGAGAGGAGACCTCTGGCTGATTCATATGATTAATGCGTATTAAGATTGTGCTTCTGGTGAGTATGCAATCTTACTATTTATCGCATGTCACCGGAATATCATTTACTCACCCCAGGGCCATAAAGATACGCATTTAGATTTAACTACTCTGGAACTTTTCATAATTAAATTTCTGAGTTTCAGTCCCCTGAGTCTTATTAGCATTATTCTGCACTTTAATGGGACGTTTTCTCTTTATACATATTATGTGTATTGGCATAAACATTCTATTACTAATTTAATGTGGATTGCTACCTAATCAGTTATTGGCAATTTCAGTTACGTCATAGTCTTTATTATTTTTATCACCCCACCGATACTATTTATTTACGTATATATACGTGATTTTGTATTTCCGGGTAGGGGGCGCATGCGAGTCCTACCTGCGCTGCCATTTGCAACCATGATTCCCCGCCGGCACCCGGTGATTACCGAGCATCTCCGACGGGGAGGAGGACTGCTTTGTTTACAAACAGTCCTCCTCCCTGTCAGCTCAGGCACACTGCTCTGGATGACTGTGCACAGCACAGCCACCCAGAGCAGTGTGCTTACAGTGAAGCACCAACACACCGCACCCCAGTAAAACAGTCCCCGTACACAGTTAACCCTTTGATCACCCCTCATGTTAACCCCTTCCTGCCCACTGCCATTAGTAGTGTGTCAGTGACACCAAGTCAGTTCCCCCCAGTGTTAGAATGCCTATCGCAGTCCTGCTGTAAGTTGCTGATCGCCACCATTACTAGTAAAAAAAAAAAAAAAAACAAATAAAATATTCCACTATCTATACCGCCATCTGTAAATGCTATAACCTTCATGTAAACCATGTTACACGTATTTGGATTTTTTTTTTTTTTTAAGCAAAGACATGGAGCAGAATACATTTTGGCGTACATTTATGACGAAATTTGATTTTTTAAATTTATTTACTGTACATGTTTAACAGCAAAAAGTCAAAAATATTGTTCTCTCAAAATTGTTGGTCTTTTTTTTTTTTTTTTTTTTATAGCGCAAAAAATAAAAAACAGAGGTGATCAAATACCACCAAAAGAAAGCTCAATTCGTGGGGGAAAAAAAAGGACGTAAATTTAATTTGGGTGCAGCGTTGCATGACCATGCAATTGTGAGTTAAAAGCAACGCAGCGCCGTAACGCAAAAAATGGTCTGGTCAGGAATGGGGGGTAAATCCTCTGGAGAGCAAGTGGTTAAAGCAAGAATGTGTATTTAGAAAACATTTGCTTATCCTGTTGTTTAGCTTGAAGTATCGATTGTGAATTCATCTTGCTGCACTGCAAACCAAAATGTGATGGTTTCCAGTATTCTTATCTTCTGAATGGCCCAACTTGTGAAAAACACAAGCTAAGCATTTCCTGGACCCAAATGCTGCCGTTTGTCTGAGCTCACTACAATCTCACCAACACAAAATATACCAGCAGTTGTCAGCACTGAATTGTAACAGTTTACAATACATGGCCTGAGAGTCTAATGGGAAGGGAATATATAAAATTCAGACTGAAAAGTACAATTAGGGACTTATTAGAAGTTACAGGACACTTGCAGGATATATTGTTAGCAATTCATAGATCTTACTTTTTGCTTGGAGCAGGTGTTGGAAAGCAAAATAGACACACTATATTAGAGACCATGTACCAAAGAGCCAAGCTCAATATTTACCGTATCATCAAGGCCATCAATATGTAAAACCACAGTTTTGGCACGTTTATTTGTGGCTCCAAGAAAGAACTGAGCCTTCCGCCTCCGCGAGTTCATCTCATTCATGCAATCACCATCTGCTGTGCTGGAAGACTGCAAAAGGTCATAGACTTCAGTGGCAAGAAGCTGTGTGTCCCCTGGTGTGGTAGTCCTGTACCAAGGTAAAGACAGACAATCACAAAGACAGGTTCAAGTGTGTGAATAAACATGTGTACTGCACACATAAATGTTACTATCTGCTTTAGCATTTCAACTATTCAAATAAAGCAATGGAGAGTGATACATTATGGTACAGGCAGCTTAAAAGCTGAATCTCCAGATGATTTTAAATGCAAAACTCAATCAATCAAGAATTCTGGTTTGGATTCACTGAAGGAGGAAGTCACTCGAGCAGTTACTTTAAAGTATATATCAACCAAACTAAAAACCTATCGCATAAGCTTTATTACATTAATTTCAAAAGTCATTTTCAACATTTTTTGCAGCTTTGACCCTGACTTGAAAGTCCTTGTTCAGGAATTTCCTATCATGGGGTGACAAATCTCTGTTCCTGTCTCCCTGTTGTGCTCTTGCCATGCAAGCTTCTGATAAAAACCTGCTTAAGACGCATTCACCACACATTAACAGGCACAATCCACTGTTGTCACCATTAGAAAACCCACCCAAATAAAATGCAATGCACACTTTCTTGGAGTACATCCAAGTAGGCGTGAAGTGGTTGCAAAAAGGTAAGAGATCAGCCACAACAAAAGATGAAAAAAAAAATTGAAAACAAGTTTTATTACAATTTAAAAAAAAAAAAAAAAGTAATTGTTAATCATACACACTACTTTTGCACCAAATGTGATTCAGCTAGGCTTTATATTTGAAACAAACAAACAAATACATTAAAAATAGTAAAGCACGCCTCATCCTAAATGAAGTGTACTAAAATATGGAATAAATCAAAACAAATAAATCCTTACACAGCTACATACAAAATATATCTCGTACCTAAATCACAAATCAAATAAACATATGCACAACGCATGTCACTGAATAGAACACGTGTATATACCATAACATTATGTGCAAAATAAATGTGCTAGTAAAAATTATGTGAATAAAAAAATCTCTTTGAAATCGGATGATAGATAATGTGAGAGCATTCAGAAATAAAGTCCCAACAATTAAAAAACAATATCTCCACCATGACTTTAAATCCTTGCACATGTGAACAAGCTTCACCACTGTGCACAAATGGATGTGCCCTCACCCTATAAGTTGGACCTCAATGTGTTAAAAAGAGGTCAAACGGTGCATAGGGCCTGTTCACAGTAGAATGCAGTGCAGGAGAGCCGCGGTCCTGTGCAGCTTCCGCACTCCGATCGCAATGTTCTTGCAGTCTACTGCGGGGGTCAGCTCAAAGTTAACGACGCCCCAAACGTAGGTTGCAAACGCACTGCATTTGCCTGCACCAGATCGCGTGGTACAAAAGTACCATGTGATGAGGTTGACGTGCGTTTCAAAAAGCAATGCATGCACTACTTTTAGGGCAGTGCAGTTTTTAGCCTATTCAAAATGAATAGGGCTGAAATCACACTGTACAGAACTGCATGTGAATCGCACACAAACCGCACAGCATTCCTATGTGATTCACATGCAGATCCTAGTGTGAACTGGCCCTTAAGGTAAATTCCAAAACACACCAGGTCCCCCTGCTAGGAATTTTTGGCCCACCACCTCTTCATCCAAAGATTTTCTTTACCAAAGCCCTCAGAGGTCAAGAGTAAAGGAAAACTATATTCCCTCTATTTGATAAATGTAGCAAGCTCTTGATTGATTTCGACTGTGGCAAGTTAAACTGATCGGCTGTGAAGAAACTTTTCTGATCAAATATTTGTTTCAGAGAACTGATAGTTCTATAGATCAGTTAAATGATTGTTTCAAATAGATTGTTTCTGATCAATCGTATTTTCAAATCGGTACTTTTGTGTTGTATCATTCAATGATGAATCATTTGTGATTGCTTGTACACGGATCGATCACATTGATACATGAATATACAGCATATGATGTATGGATACTATAATGAAGAACTGGATAACAGAAAAACCCAAGCCAGAAATCTTCCACTATTAAAGACTTCAGCAACATGAGCAAAAACACTGAAGTGATACACTAGAGCAGATAGGCTCCTTCTTCTAACAAATGACATTTGTGGCTTTAAGGGACAGCTGATAATTAAACTTGTATTAAACGTTCCTAATCACCTTAAGTGAATACTAATTGGAAAGAACAGATTAGAGCAATAGATTTTCCTCAGCCTGTTAAAGGCAGATGATCTAGCAAAAGACGGGTGTTCTATTTTTTCATGAGCTGAATTATTTAACATGTAGATTATCGTATGCTATAGAGAGGAAAATGTAATAAAGAAAAAGTTTGGCCTTTGCAACATAAAACAAAGCCGTTACCAGAGGGAAGAGCCTTCTTTACAGGCCATAAAATTCAATTATTTAACAACAGTTGAAGCTGCTAGTTTTAATGTAGTTCATATGGACACATTAAAATGTGTGAAGCATGCATAAATACCAGCATTGACAAAGTGCTCTGCTCTTGATTATGCTCAGCATCGGATGCACTCAGTGTTATCTCTGTATGGAACTGTGGAAGGTGTCACTTCTGTTCTTCGGAAAAGTCAAGTAAATATGTCTTTAAGCTTGACTTGAAGTCAGACTTGGCATTTTATGTTTCTGCTGACAAAGAGAGTTCCCAAGTTGACATAACATAAATGTCTTTAAAGTTTAGTTTCTTTTTGGAAACCAGATTAGCCCTTTACTGCCGGGGGGGGGGGGCTGCACAAACATTTTTTTATCCAAGCTGAGTGCAGTCAGGCAAGCAATAAGGGTTGAAGGAGTTAATGTTTGCAATGTCTTGCTGCAGGAAAGATGCAAACATCAGACATTGTTCTGATATGTTCTACAACTGCAAATTCATTGAGGCAGATTATATTAAAATTAGTAGTAATTGTGAATACATTATCAGGAGAAGAAGGCATATTTAACCTAGGCAAGCATTTACTAATCTACTCTTTAACCTTCCCAATGTTGAAGTCTTGTGCACTGCTTGTGACATTTTCGGAATGTCTTCTTTATTCTGAGATGTGAATTTATCACCCTGATGATTTCTACGTACTGGGTATTTGTATACACAGAAACAAAATGTAATTTCAAAGGTCATGGCTATTGCCATTTCTTGGCATGTTTGCATTTTAAAAGGCAAGCAAAGTATTAAACTATAGTTGTGTTATACAGTATCTCACAGAAGTGAGTACACCCCTCACATTTTTGTAAATATTTTATTATAACTTTTCATGTGACAACACTGAAGAAATGACACTTTGCTACAATGTAAAGCAGTGAGTGTACAGCTTGTATAACAGTGTAAATTTGCTGTCCCCTCAACATAACTCAACACACCGCCATTAATGTCTAATTAGCTGGTCCAAACAAACTATTAACATCACTAAGTCCTGCACTGGCTCTAAGCACTATATGTACTGCATGTAACTTCAGCTACATATGTTACACAGTGCTGGATTCTGGCTGTGAGACAGAGCCTCCTTGTCCCACATCTGGAATAATGCAGGCAGTCTGCATGCCACTCAGTCTTTCATAGACAGTTTTGTATTCTGTCTCTCAGAGGTGGAGAGGCAGACTAATGACATCACTCTTTCTGCCTCAGCCAATCAGCACTGAAGGTGTGCTTACTACTTTGATTTCTGTGATTGGTCACAGTGATCACATAGTACAGGGCCAAACACAGCTATCACAATAATAAACAATGACATCATGAATGGATGCCAAACAGTTTACTTATGTAATGATCATCACTGTATAAGCAATCATAGTGTAAAACAAAAAATCCTGATCATATACTGCGTGTGGGTTTATATAATACATACATAAAATAAATATATATATACACACATACATACACACAATGCCAAAAGTATTGGGACGCCTGCTTTTACATGCAAATTAACTTTAATGGCATCCCAGTCTTAGTCCGTAGGGTTCAATACTGAGTTGGCCCGCCCTTTGCACATATAACAGCTTTAACTCTTCTGGGAAGGCTGTCCACAAGGTTTAGAAGTGTGTCTATGGGAATGTTTGACCATTCTTCCAGAAGTGCATTTGTGAGGTCAGGCACTGATGTCAGATTAGAAGGCCTGGCTCGAAGTCTCCGCTCTAATTCATCCCAAGGGTGTTCTATTAGGTTGGGGTCAGGACTCTGTGCAGGCCAGTCAAGTTCCTCCGCCCGAGACTTGCTCATCCATGTCCATGGTCCATGGACCTTGCTTTGTGCACTGGTGTGCAGTCATGTTGGAACCGGAAGGGGCCATCCCCAAACTGTTCCCACAAAGTTGGGAGCATGAAATTGTCCAAAATGTCTTGGTGTGCTTACACCTTAAGAGTTCACTTCACTGGAACTAAGGGGCCAAGCCCAACCCCTGAGAAACAACCCCACACCATAATCTCCCTCCACCAAACTTTACACAATGCAGTAAAGCAAGTACCGTTCTCCTGGCAACCGCCAAACCCAGACACTTCTATCGGACTGCCAGACAGAGAAGCGTGATTCGTCAATTCAGAGAACATGTCTCCACTGCTCTAGAGTCCAGAGGTGATGTGCTTTACACCACTGCATCTAACGCTTTGCATTGCACTTGGTGATGTAAGGCTTGGATGCAGCTGCTTGGCCATAAAAACCCATTCCATGAAACTCTCTAGGCACGGTTGTGCTAATCTGAAGTTTGGAGGTCTTTTGCTATTGACTCTGCAGACAGTTGGCGACTTCTGTGCACTTCAGCATGCACTGACCCCGCTCGGTCATTTTACTTGGACTACCACTTAGTGGTATTATAATGATTTATACAATGATTTGGAAGGGTGTCCCAATACTTTGAGCAATATATATAGTGTATATATTACATACACACACACCTCAAAAAAATTAAGGAAACACTTTTTAATCAGAGTATAGCATCAAGTCCATTAAACTACTGCGATATTAATCTGGTCAGTTAAGTAGCAGAGGGGGTTGTTAATCAGTTTCAGCTGCTTTGGTGTTAATGAAATTAACAACAGGTGCACTAGATGGGCAACAATG